CATAGTCAGTGCTCATGGATGCAGCAGTCAAGAAGTCACAGGGCATAGTACATTGGGCAAATCTGCGCAAGGCCTCTTTTAGGGTTCTCGAGCAAGGATGTCACTTTGAGGACTAAGGTGTGCTGTGCCCAAGCCCTGGTGTTCTCAGTATCCACACGTGCTGTAAGCGCGCGGTGACTAACAAGACCACAGAAGAGCTGGTGGATTGAATTATAGTGTTGGTGAAGAATGTCGAGATACCACGGACTGTCAGAAGAACCAATCTGCCTTGAAGGAAGTTTAGCAAGAATTCTCCTTAGATAGAAGGATGGTGAGGCTTTTTCCCAGGCCAGTCCCTGGGAGAGGGAATCACACTTGGCAAAGGAGACGGCCAGTGAAAAAAAGTAAGACTTCAACAGGATGGGTTGACGTAGTGACTGCAACAGTGGGCTATAATATAGCAACGATCGGGAGGATGGGACTGGACCGAGCGGTGTTTGTTTCCTTCTGTTGTAAGTCAGAAGCAACTTCAAGCACCTGACAACAATACCGCCAACACACGTGTCATAAGAAGCCTTAGTGGTGCAGCTGAAGTGTTGTCAGCCGTTCAAACCCACCGGCTACCCTGGGGGGAAGCATGAGTGCCCTGTACGAGTTACAGCCGCGGAAGCCCCTTGGAGTAGCTCTTCTCTGCCCTGTTGGGTGACTGAGTTGAATTGATTCAGTGGCACTGGGGAAAATTGCCACAATAAATACAGCTTTTTAAAGTAAAGGGCAGCAAAATGGCCTTTCTAATAAGTTGAAAGAAAAGGATTAAGAAGAAAAGGAAGGCGATGTTGAGTTATCTGTTTAGAAAAACTTGACAAAAACTTTTTTAATCTCAGTTCTGCCCCAGAAGGAGAGTTTCTCGAGCCAGGCTTATCCAGGAGCTTTGTTTCTATGTATACATCAACCATGGCCAAGATCCTCCTCGGGGCCTCTAACAAAACATTAAAGGCATTCATTTATTTAGGTTTTATAGACTTGGTACAAGAAATATGCATTGTCCTGTGTGCTAGCTTGTTGAGATTAAGAGGTCTGTAGTGTAATTAATCATTTTTATATGGTCTTGGCAATTCCCACTAAAAAGATTGAGTGGGTCCCTACAAATAAGGAGTTTGTGGCCCGTTAAGAT